ATCTCGAGCATGATATGTTGCAAAAGTTGATAGTCGCTCCGCTATTCACTTTCAAAAGTTTGCATGAACTGGGGGTTCAGATCGAGAATGCGTTCAACAGTGGGATCATTCCCAGAACAAATGAACCGACAAGGAGGGCGATTGTAGGGAGTACCAATGCTGGTAGTAGCATCATTCCCAAATCCACCGAGATCAATGCAGTCGCCACAGCCAGCCCTTTTGCCAAACCAAGCCTACAAACAGCCGGCCCAGCCCGAGCTCAGGGCAGAACTTTCACTCCCCTCTATATGAGCCTGACTAGCGCACTAAAAGCCTTGATGGAAAGAGGGCATGACATGTGGCCTTCGGCACCGAGTCAGGGTTTCCTAAATTCTCCCATAAAAAATATTTAGGTGGCGACTCTGTATCTGGCAAAGCAGTCCATGTTTGGCACTACTTTTTCAAAAATCTGTCTCTTAAAACGATTTGCCAGATTTGGACTCTTTGGTTCAGATTAAGAACCGTGACACAAATCGAGTCCGAACTTTAGCAGCACGAGGCCCACGCGGGCGCGTCTACAGCTCTAAAAATTACGCTAATTATAATGGCACAATCAATTTCAGTTTCTGTGGCCGATAAGGCCTTCAATTTAAATTCCAAAGCAGATAATCAAACAGATATTCCTACGGTGAACAGATGGAAATTCAAAACCACATATTTTCACATAATGACACACAAAATCATATGAAACACATAATCGTATTCATATTAAGGACCAATTAGCGTACTACGGAACATGGATATCACAAAAAGAGTCCTTGACAGCCCACAATAAGAAGACACTTCCTAAGTTGATCAATAACAAAACACTCTTATAAAAAAAAAATGCGACAAAACCAAATTATAATATTTTGTTTTCAAAATATTTTTGCAAGCTTGATTATGGAATCATTGTTTGCTATATCATAAGGCAATATGTTTCCAGCAACAACATAATATCTACTTTTTTCAAAGAAGAATGCAATCAATTGAGAGCCGATATATTAACTATCTTCTTGACTGAGCAACAAACTGCTCAACAATAAATAGTTGATGAAAACATTGATGACTTGCCTCCGCAATAATCAACAGATCTGGAAAAAAAAAAAAACATTTTGCTTGTTTGTTTGTTACAGTGTTATAGTGTAACAAAGAGGAAACATTGATTCATTTAGCTGTTAGAATGTGAATACTTCATACATTTGGCTTGTTTGGTTATTACAGTGTCATATATATTTTGATCATTTTGGTTTGTACTTTACTTCAATGAATATTACAATGCTTGGTTGTTACAATGTTTTTTTTTTTGATAACTCAGGGTGTCCGGGCTAGCTTGCGCGCACCTCAACTAATCCCTGGAGGACCAATCCCATCGTTCACTAGCGGGGGGCTCATTTAAAACCAAAGCAAAGCTCTATATGGACTGGCCCAACACAAGGATTGATAGCACCTAAGAGGTTTTGAACTTGAGACCTAGAGAAGAGTAAACTCCTAAATCCCAAGCCTACACTACTAGGCCAACCCTTGGAGGTTTACAATGTTAAAATTACAGACAATACACTAAATGAAAATTCAGTCTTTTTTAGCTATATTTTTACCAGATCTGGCTTTGATATCAGTCTTACTTTATGTTTAATAACAAGTTTGGATCCCTTCATTTACTAACATGACATTTTTTTTACACTGATAAATTTATCACTGTTCAAACTAACAAAAATCAGCAACTCTCTCTCTCTCTCTCATTCTTTTTTCCTAATTCAAGTAAACAAAACAATATAAATTTGGGAATGAATGTAAGAACATGCCATTCTGGGTATATGGAGTGGTGATAAAGTTCTAACAGTAAATCCAAAAAAACAAACCGTACATACATTTTAACATTTAACTCCAAGAACCAGTTATTTATGAAGAAATATGATCTTATTCAAGACCTGATGATAAACTGTTGCATCTAAAGCATTTCTTAGACTGAAATTTTGAACAATTTAATCTGAAAATGAATTGCAAACTCAAAATATTTTGCTTCAAGGATCCCACTGATAGTTAATTGCATAATGGCAGTAATGTAGCACAGATTGGAAAACTTAGTCCCAAACTACCTACAATTGATTTTTCTTGAGTTTAAGCCACTGATAAATTTATCACTGTAAAAAAGAACATTTGGTTGGATATGACACTGATAAATTTATCAACCACTGACATAAATGTAATAAACCATCAACTCTTTCCATATAGTCGGTTATAAATTTATCATTCTTAAAAATAACAAAATTCAGCAACCCCATTAATGCTTGATTGTTTCCTTCAGACAATGGTAAATTTATCACTCTTAAAAAAACATAATCCACCAACTCATTCAAACCAACCAAGGATAAATTTACCACTGTATAAAACACCAAAAACATCAACTACATTTAACCAAAATCAAAGAATATAAATTGGTGAAACTTAATCTTGTAAAAATATCAACAAATAATATAATTTCCGTTCAAAAAATTCCTCAATCATCTAATGCAACTACCGAAATGATGTATCTTTCAAAAAATACTCAAACATTCAATGCAAGTAACACCTCTCAACTCTCAACGAAAGTAATTCAATTAAAATCAATACAACTAAAACAAAGCTTCTTTACATGTCTTCTGATTATGAGTTTCCATCTTTCCACACCTATTGCACCTAATTCTCTTGATCTCGCCCTTCGAAGGTATTCTCTCTATTCTTGGACATCCAGTTGGTTTCTTACAAAGAGGAGGTAAAACAACGTCATCATCAAGAACTACATTTGGCTTCCATATACTAGGAACTAGATAGATAGAATGCGAATAACAATCACAATAACTACGAACATGGTAGTAATCATCAAGAAAACACTTCAGATCCTTCTTACTCCTTTTTATAGCACAAAAACCATGTTTGCAAGGAAAATAATCAATTTCCAACAATCGACAAGAACAAGACCGTTTCCCAATATCAACCATAACTGAATGATCCAATTGGATTTCATGAATATCATCGCTACATTTCTTAACTATCCATGCCTTTGTATCATTAAAACATTTTTCCAACTTTTTCTCTGTAAAAGGACAAACAATACGATTCCACTTATTTCCAACTTCTCTCCTTTTTGAAAATTGCTCCATTAGTTCCACCCGTATAGCATCAACAAGATTAGTTGAAAACAAATGGCACTTATCCCTAATCTATGAATTAAAAGATTCTGCAGCATTTGTGCACATTTCACCATACCTTTTGCTTTGAAAATAAGCGTTACACCAACACTCATTAGGTAAATCCTCAAGAAACTTCTAAACAGTACGACCACAACAACCCTTAAATTCTTCAAATAGCTCATTAGATAACTCAATAGTAGGAGCATATGCACATCTACTAAAAAGAGTGAGCAAATACTCTTTAGATTTGCGACACTTCACTGACAAATAAGTCTTCAAATTTGTCTTCAAATGCATTAGACAAAAAGAATGAGAAGAAAATGAAAAGACCTTAGCTAAAGCTTTCAGCAAACCTCCATGCCGATCAGTAACAAACGTAATATCCCTTCCCGGAGTCAAAATAACAAATAACTTTGATAAGAACCAATGCCAATTGTCATAACGTTCACTATCAACAATGGCAAAACATAATGGATATAAACCTATAAACAAAATGTATACACATTATTTGTAACAAATAAAAAAGATTACAAAACAAAAGCAAAACGCAAAGTATATAACATAGAGCACTAACCATAGATAACTTTATCACTGTATTACTACAACAATTCAATAGCAACATACAACATATAGAATCAATGCATAATAAATTTATCACTGTATAAATATAAAAATTTAACAAAAGTATACAGAATACAAAAGTATACAGCATAAATTTATCACTAATTGATTGACCATACTCAATAATCAACACTCTCCAGTAACAAAAATGATAAAATTATCATTGTTTTAATAATAATAACAAATAGACACAGAATATACCCTGATTACCGTCTTTAGCCGTAACAACCAATAAACAACCTTTGTGTCTTCTTTTCATAAAGTTTCATCAAGTATCAACAGAGGCTGACAATACTTGAAATCATGAATACATGCCTCAAAAGCGAAAAACAAGCATTTGAAATGACTTCCTTTACTATCAATATCAAATTCCATATAAAAAACACTCCCCGAATTACAATCATTAGCGACATCAACATACCAACGAAGATCGTCAAATGAAGATGAATAGTCACCAAAAACAACATCCCTTGTTTTTTCAACACCCATCCAAGCTCGCGCGATAAGAAACTTCTGTTCCATAATAGTCTTTGAAATCACAAACCACCTCACTAACAGATGTCAAAGCCTTATTACGAACCTCACTTGAAAGTAGCCCACCAATCATACTCGAAGTCAAGATCCACACGTATGAACATCATCATATTGTTTAATAATAAAAGCTTTACTAGAATTTTTCACTCTAGCATGCACGCTCCATAAACATCCCAAATCAGCCATTCTCTTACAATAAATAGTGACACGATCTTTGTTATTCTTAACAAAATCAAAATCAAAACCAGAATGAATAGAATACTTTGACAACGCATCTCGAAATTCAACAACTCCTTGGGCAAACCTTTGACCCACTCATTTTATACAATTAACCCATCTATTGGAGAGTAAAGGTTTTCGTTGATTTGAATAAAATGAAGGCAAAAAATCAGTTTCACAAACAACACTACTACTACTACCAGCTTCACCATCACAAATCATATAACCTTCACCCAAAGAACAACACTTAACAAAAACATCAATACGATGAATATCACAAGAAAGTGCGAGTCCACCATAACCTCCAAATCCTCTTCACTATGTAGACCATAACAAGAATGTCCAGGCATTGAATACGATATATTTAAAGAACTACCAACTAACTCACTCCACTTTGCACACAATTTATATACTAAATCCTTAAAATTAAATCTATCATTATACTTGATAACCAATGTCACACCTCTAAATTTGCATATAAGAAACAAAGAATTTTTCATCACTATAAATCTTGCAACAAACAACAATTATATATTAGCAAACAACTCAAACAACCTAAAACAAAATCTAATACAGTGATAAAATTATCAACCAACTTAAACACATCAAAAAACCAACAGTGATAAATTTAACAATTAACACTACCTAAGACCAAGAGCATGAACAGTGAATAAGGCTTACACTTATTGGGCATAGTAATTCGATTTAAATCTTACCATTATGTTATGCAACTTTTTCATCTCCTATTCCTATACTCACTGATAAATTTATTAGTGTTGAAAAAGTTAATCCAACAACACCCCCAAACTACTCAGTGATAAAATTATCACTGTAGAAAATCACAAACCAACACCTATGTTAAACCAAAACAATTTCGTAACAAAAAAAAAATAAAAAAATAAAAAAAAATAAAAATAAAAAATAAAATCTAATATTCATTACATATACATATCTTAAAACTTTCAATATCATGATCAAAATACAAATTCAATCGCAGAAACAACAGAATAACAACAATATCACAAACAAATTCAAAATCACAAACTCAAACTAAAAAACACAAAAACATCAAAATTGAAATCAAAATCAAACATACCAGTTAAGCTCTCTCCACAAAATCGCAAATCACAAAATCTAACTATACACCAAACGCGAAATCACAAAACACGAAGATTCACAGATTTATAAAAAGCAAATCACAAATCAAGCTCCCTCCATGAGATCTCAAATTGCAAAATCCAAATATACACCAAGCGCGAAATCACAAATCACGAAACTCCACAATAATGCATCAACAAATCACGATGTTCCACAGAAATCCAAATCACAAACCCAAACCCAAACTCACATTACAGTATTTTGATGGCAAAAATCAAATAGAAACGCGCCAAAACAGGAGAAAACAAAACAGGGATAACACAGGTAGAAAAAAAAGACTCTAGGACCTATTGGTGTACAACATCAATATTCAGGACAAAGAAAGGAATAACTATAAAAAATAGGACCGGCCAGTAAAAAACACTTTTTATAATTCTAATGGTTTATCATCCAAGTAAAAGATGAGAATAATATGATATCTATAATCAAATGATCCAAGTATTTTTTATTTTTTATTTTTTATCTTAAAAAATGTACGGTGATCACATTTTTTGTCCAATATTTTTAATACACTTGCCTAATTAAGTTTTTTTAATATCAATAATCTGTTGACAGTTTCTATAATATGAACAAGCTTTTTGTTTATTAGAAAAGATAGGTACTTAGAAAAAATGTGAAAAATTCTTATATGTCAACTAGTGTTATGATATTATTATTGATCACACTTATTATATAAGTTATAAATACTCAAAATCATACAAATGATGTCACATTATCTGTTAGTATACTAGTGTGTACATTAATTGGTACATAAAATATTATTCATAAAAAATACTAAAAGCAATACTATAAATTTACTCTTATCAATTTAGAATTTATTTTTAAAAAAATTAATGACTCAGATTTATTTCATATGTAAACCACACTTCATCCATTTAATTTTCACCGCACAAACACATTTGGGATAAATTTGAGATCCGAAAGGATGGATTCCTAACATTTTTCAAAAACTAATCCATTCGAATTTAACTCATGGTTAGCTTGTTCAAATTTGTTAGGTAAACAACTCAAGGTTAAATATAATTTTGAACTGATTATTAAATTAAATTTATATAACTTACTACATAGTGAGTCGACTTATATGAGCATTGTTATTTATGACAAAAAATTAGACTTAACTTTTAAGTTCAGTGACAATCAATTAGGATATTAAAGGCAACACTCTCTCTTATATTTTCTCTAATCATTAACAAATCATATTATTTATACATCATTGGATTTAGAAAGTGAGTTTAAAAAATAAATTTGTACCCCTCCGTCCCAAAATAATAGTTCTTTTTGAGAAATTTAACTTTTTTTGATAGTAAAATTATTGCACTTTAAAAATATTAATTTCTCAAAATTACTCTTCGATAGTACATTTTTTTAAGGAATATCAATTGTTATAATTATACTTTTTGTGTTGTTAATAAATTTAAAAGAATAAAAATATAGAAAATTTATATTATTTTAAATCTTAATTTTAAAAAACGGACTAATATTTTGACACAATGAAAAATGAATTAAAGCAATAATATTTTGATACGGAGAAAATATATCATTTTATTTTAAGTAGTTTGGCAAAAAAATTTCAAATTAGTTTTTCCAGTTTGGACATTTTTAATTTGGAACTAAAAAAATTTATTTGACAATTTTTTTTAACTTTTTAAATTTTTATAAAAAAAATTAAAATAATTATCATTTAAATATAATATTTTACCCTATTAATTTTTTAATGAACCAAACCTTGTATGAATACAATTAATTATTGCCGTTTGGTTGTAGAATGAAAGTCAGAAGAAGACGAGTGCACTTTGGTTGCAGTGGGGTCATTTCCAATGATAACTGAGCAGCTGTAGCCTGTAGGGTCATAGAGAGTGCCCAACCACAGGGTTGGTGAAGGAAAAGACACCTCTCCCATCTCCACCCCGTGACTCTGAAAATTGAATCATTTTAGTTTTTAATTATTTTAATAAATTAAAATATTTATGGGAGTAAATTTCATTAACCGTTCTTATAATTTGAAATTTGTGTTATTTTAATTTTTAATTTTTTAATTATGATATATTTGATTTTAAATTTTACTAAATCTTATTTTAAATAAAAATAATTGAAGATATCATTACTTAATTTTAAAAATAAAATCGTCAATTTGATAAAATATAAATTAATTTGAAAAAAATAAATATTAAAAAAATATTTTTACCAAAATATTTTTACGAAAGATAAAATTATGTAAAATTGATAAATCTTTTACATTTTTTATTTTTCTATTTTTTTACCAAATTAAATTTTAGTATGTGTTTGGATGATGATCATGTAACGAGTGATTGTTTTTGTTGATTTTTTCGATAATTATTATGTAATAGATGGTTGTATTTGTTGTTAACAAATATTTTTAGGTGATTATCATGTAATGAATGGTTATTAGGTTTTAATGTTAATCGATATATTTAATATATAAAATATTTTTAATTTTGATTTTTTTGATTTATTGGATTAGTTTAATAATGATATCAAAATTGTCACCATATTTGACTTTTAAAAAAATAAAAACTAATTTAATAGGAAAAAACAATCACTCATTACATGATTATCATCCAAACATATAATAAAAATTAATTTGGTAAAAAAATAAATGTGTAAAAGATTTATCAATTTTACATAATTTTATCTTTGATGGGTAGAAATAATTTTTAAAAATTTTAAAATATTTTTAAAATTTTTAATTTTGTTAAATTAGTTTATATTTTAACAAATTGATGACTTTGTCCTTAAAATTGAACAATATTATCTTCAATTATTTTTATTTGGTACAATATTCAAAATTCAAAATTAAATATATCACAATTAAAAAATTAGAGACTAAAATAATATGAGTTTCGAACTATAAGGACGGTTAGTATAATTCGTCTATATTTTAAAAGAGGGTTAAATTCTTTTATAATTAGATGTGATACTTGTAAGAAAAAAAAACGTAAAATAATTATAAATTTAATATAATATTTTATCTTATTAATTATTTTAATATTTTTTTTAAATTAAAAAAAAAACCCTATATATATAAACTAGCTCTCCCCCTTTCCACTCTGCCAATCATTCTCACCATCTCCAACCTCGTTCAATTTGTCCCAAAACCCACAAGCCATATCAATCAACTCTTCAAATCCAACAATGGGTTCAACAAGCGAGACCCAAACAATTCACACAGACGAAGAAGAGGCTTGCTTGTTCGCTATGCAATTAGCGAGCGCGTCTGTTCTTCCCATGGTGTTGAAATCGGCCATTGAGCTTGACCTTTTGGAGATCATGGCTAAGGCTGGTCCAGGTGCCTATGTGTCGCCGTCGGAGGTGGCGGCTCAGCTGCCGACGAAGAACCCAGATGCGGCGGTGATGCTGGACAGAATTCTGAGGCTCCTAACTAGCTACTCTGTTCTCAACTGTACTCTCCGAGACCTCCCCAATGGAGGGGTCGAGAGGCTCTATGGTCTCGCCCCTGTTTGCAAGTTCTTGACTAGAAACGCTGATGGTGTTTCCATGGCTCCTCTTTTGCTCATGAACCAAGACAAGGTCCTCATGGAGAGCTGGTAATCCTATTTCTTTTTTTCTTTTAGGATAAATTTCAAATACACTCAAATTTGCGTAAAATACGAATTCTTCTTATTATTTCAAAAATTACAAATACTTCACTATCAGAATTTTTTATTTAATAGAATTCGTTGAAAAAGTAAAATTTTTAACTGTTCATCTATACAATAATAAAATTATCTAAATTATTAATTGAAATAAAATTTTAACATTATTAAAAATTGTTAATTAACTTGATGATTTATTAATAAGATGACCTAGTTATTATGGAATTGGAAATCTTAAAAATATAATATAATTTTTAGAATTACAAAAATAATTTATAATTTAAATAAATTTTAAAAGATATATTTATAATTTATTGTTTTTTTTATTATCTAAGAATATACTACAAAAGCCAATTACAAAATCAAACACAAATTCACTTGGTCTTATCATTTGGGAGTCACAATTGACTTAAATAAATAAAATAATAAAAATACTATTCATTTGTTTTTTAATTAATTGGACATCGGGAACTATTTAATCAATTGATATATTTCTTGAAAAAAAGAAGAAGTAAAGAATTATTTTTAAAATTATACAATCTAGTTTGACAAGATGAACAATTTAGATCATTGAGATCCGTCCACAATGGGATGGACTAGACGTCTCCAGTCTCAAGACGAGCTGCTTTAAAAAAGAAAAAGGAAAAAAAAAATCGTTCTTATAATTTTATTATCTAAAAATAAATTCTTAAAAATTAAAAAAATATCTTTTAATATTTATTTTCACTAAATTAATTTTTAGCATGCCTTCATATAAAATTGTATACACGACACGACATACTTCTAAAGATATTCTAAAAATGTCTTCACCAAACATATTCTAAACACTCAAGAAGTATGTTTTTTTTAAGAAATTTTAGCAAACATAAAACACTCAAGAAGCATGTTTTGTAGAGAAATTTCATCAAACGTATTTTAAAGATGAAATCAAACAGAGAAACTTGATGGAGCGTATCTAGATTATAGAATCTGTTTTCTATAATTCAGGTTTCTGTGTTTCAAAATAAATCCTAGAGAAACGTTTTATGTGTATCTAGATGCAGTTTTTTTTTTAATTTTAATTTTTATTTTTATGGGTCATTTTGTAGGGTTGATATGTGAAATCTCATTATTGACATTCTTACCTTTAAAATATGATTTTGGTTTTTTTTTCTTCTTTCTTTCTATCTATTTTCTATCCTTCTTTTCATTATTATTTTTGATTGACAAAAATAGACAATATTGCAAATCCCTCTGTTGGAATTAGCAATACCATTATACCACCCCTTATGGTATTGCTTTCACGGTCATAGGATTTGTAATATAATATCACTCAGTATGAAGATTCTTCTTCTTTTATCAATACATTTAATTTCATTTCTTATTCAGTCAATTACTAATCTTGACACTAATCTCATAATATTATCAATTTAAGCAATGAGTTGTATTGGAAAGAGGGTTAAAAATTTTTGACTTTTCTTTGAAAAAATGTGTAAAAATTGTAAAAAATAATGCGACCCAAAATGAGTCAAAAATTAAAAGATGACTTTTAACTATCTTCCTAAAATACTCCAGTTTTAAAAAAATCTAATCCACTTGCAAAACAAGGCCAAAGAGGAGAAAAGTGCATGATAAAAAAAGTATTGTGTGTCCTCCATTTTCTCCATATTGATTGTGAATGAATTTTATTTTATTTTATTTGAAAATTAAGCATGACAGCCTTGACAATGACATATGATAAAAAATATGTGACTTGAAATGAGTCAAAAGTTAAAAGATGACTTTTAATTATTTTTTTAAACAACAATGATTCATCCCACTAAAAACATCACCACTAATAGCACTGATGCGTTAAAAAAGTAAAAAAAAAAAAAAAAAATACAACTCCAAGACCAAAACATCACATCATTAATGACGGAACCCACTGCCACGTGGGAGCACTAATTAGTGCTCCCAAGCATTTTTCTTTTTTAAAATAGTCCAATATTAAAAAAATCTAATCCACTTGCTAAACACGGCCAAAGAGAAAAAAAATGCATGATAAAAAGAGTATAGTGTGTCCTCCATTTTTTCCATACTGATTGTGAGTGAATTTTATTTAATTTTATTTGAAAATTAAGCATGACAGCCTTGACAAGGACAAATGATAATATAGAAGATGTGAATTTCTTCTTCTTGGGGTGAAAAGGAAATAAATTAATTTTGAAGATGACACACATGATAGGTTGGCCACCCACTAAATTTGAATTCAAACCACAAAAAGTAAACAAATGGGCATCCACCACTTGGTTGCCCGAAGTTGGACTCCACCTACCACCACTGCTAGTCCTTGTTTGGTTGTGAGAAAATGTTCTTCATGCATAGTGTTTGGATGTAGGAAAAGTATAAAATAAGTTCTTAAGAATGATAACACTTCTTTATGCTATCTCACTATCTTGATTCTTCTGTTTCTTCCAATTTTTTTTATTTACTTTGATATCTTTATTAGATTAAATTTATCCAGCAGGTGGGAGGTCTTAATTCAGGATGTGATATGTATGTGTATATGCACATATGACTATGGATGATTTAGAATATAATCACATTTATTAATTGTCGTCCAGTTCGGCCTATGGGGTTGAATTTTTGGGCCCGTTTTGATAATTCGTACCGTTCAATATGTAGAACTCGTCGAGTACTACATGGCTGTACAAAATCACGTTGATCGAATATCAATAGGTATGTGATCAAATCAGTTTTGTATAAAAAAAATGGACGGTGAAACAATTAACGGTTGATAAAAAACTGTTTTGTTCACATAGCTATCGATATCCGATCAACGTGATTTTTTACAGGCATATAGTACTCGACGAGTTCTACACATTGACGGTTCGGATTATCAAAACAGGATCCGTGGTGGGCCCCACGGGCCCAACAGCACGGTCCAGTCTGATCTTGGACTGGACCAAAGCCACTGCCTTTAAAAAATAACTATTGGACGGGTTTGGGGTACTGTTGTGTCTTCAAAACATAGCAACCTGCTGTGTCCCTCTCCCGGTGCCGATATAGGGACTATTTTGATAATTTAAACTGTTGTATTATAGGTTCATTGAGTAGAATATTCATGTCAATAATTAAGTTAATCGGATATTCGTAACTAAATGACCAAGGACTTAAAAATATAAAATTTATTATCAAAATTATGTTTACCGTTTATTTTTTTTCAAAACTAATGTAATATAATTATCTGATTATAAATATTCAATTGACTTATTTTTTATGAATGATTTACTTGATAAACCCTACAATATGATCGGTCAAGATTCTCTCCCAAATCCCTTCCTTAGTTGGTTTTAAAATACTTATCTGGCAGAATTATCTAAAGAATTATAAGGCACAAGAATTTTAATATATAATTTGATCACCGTAAATATTTTTTGATAAAGGATTCCGTACCCTTAAATCTAGCTGAGGAAAATTGACTTTTTAAACTTTTTCTCAGTGGACTTTTTAATTTTTTTTTAAAGTCCACCTAATCTAGCTGAATCTAAAAGTGAAAAATTTTTAGAATATTTTTTTTAAAAAAGAAAAAAAGTTCAAAAAAGATGGGGAAAAGAATCTGGTAAAAAAGTAATTGCCAAACTCCATTGAGTTATATTATTTAAGCAGGGTCTTGTTAAAGAATACCTTTGGGGTGGTACACATTAAGAAGGCATAAAAATGTTATACAATCTTAATTATACGTACCTTTTTACAAAATTGAAGTGTTAATTTAAGCTTATAAAGCACAGTTTAACAAAATCTTTTTAGATGAAGAAAGGAATAAAAGTCAACATACAAGTTAATGGGGTGTGTGGTAGGCAAGTTTAGGGGTCAATACCATAGAGATTATTATTTGACATATATTATGTTTAATGAATAATGCAGGTATTATTTGAAAGACACAGTTCTTGAAGGTGGAATTCCATTTAATAAGGCCTATGGAATGACTGCATTCGAGTACCACGGCACTGACCCCAGATTCAACAAGGTGTTCAACCAAGGAATGTCCAATCACTCCACCATCACCATGAAGAAAATTCTCGATATTTACGGAGGCTTCGACGGCCTCACCACCGTTGTCGACGTTGGCGGCGGCACCGGAGCCACCCTTAACATGATTGTCTCTAAACACCCCACCATCAAGGGGATCAACTTTGATTTGCCTCATGTTATCGAAGATGCCCCATCTTACCCCGGTACAAATATATTTTCATGAAGTGGACGGTTAAAGAATGTACATTCCTTTTATGCTTTGTTAACTAATACCGTTAAGTTAAGATACTAGTTAACAAAAATCTAGTACGGACTTAAATTATGTGGTCTTGAGTTGCTCATTGTTAAAAATTGTTCTTTGTTTTGTTGAATTTGTATCTAATTAAGGATTGGACTCGATGCTTGTAGGTGTGGAGCATGTTGGGGGTGACATGTTCGTCAGTGTACCAAAAGGGGATGCCATTTTCATGAAGGTGAGTTTGAAATTTTTGCAAACATTGACATGTTTGGTCGTATTTTTGTTTTCTGTTTTTCACTTTAATGTTACTTTACCAATGCGATGTTTGGTAGCTGAGAAAAAAATGGTTAATGAAGCTATAAATGTGTTTGTTTCTACAGTGGATATGCCATGACTGGAGCGATGATCACTGCTTGAAATTTTTGAAGAACTGCTACGACGCATTGCCACATAACGGGAAGGTGATTATTGCTGAATGCATTCTACCAGTAGCCCCGGACACCAAGCTTGCAACTAAGAATGTGGTCCACATCGATGTTATCATGTTGGCTCACAACCCGGGTGGGAAAGAAAGGACACAGAAGGAATTTGAGGCCTTGGCGAAGGGGGCTGGATTTGCTGGTTTCCGTGTGATGTGCTGCGCTTTCAATACCTATGTCATGGAATTTCTCAAGAACATTTGAGCTCATTTTCGCTTGGGGATTTTGTGCATAGTTAAATATGCTTTCTGGTTTTTGAGTGTGTGATTCTGTCTCTTATAATTTCCAGCATCAATTTTACAACACATGAAACTGTTTTTTTTTTCCTTTTTTCTCATTGAAGGGAATAAAGAAGGAATAAATTCTGTAGCTCTACCAAGTTTATTAAAATATTGTGTATGATTATGTCTTCTTGTTTGTTTTTTTTTTTCGGCTGTTATTTTCAAAATGCAATCTCAAATCCTACAACTATGAAGGATTCAGTTATCCTCGAGCATTACTTCAATACCAAATTGACGTAATGACTAAACACTTTGTTGGAAGTACCGTGAAAAATTGGAATGAGTCCAAAAACATGAAAAATGATCATTGAACACTTTACTTATTCAGACACTATTAGAAAAATGACTTTTTGCTATCATATAATTCGCGACCACTTAATTATCTGTCACAAATAGTCAATTTATTCCCTATTTTCTTTTATTTATTTTCCCCTAATCCTTATATTTGCCCTAACACTAATCGTTCTCTCCCTTCTCTATATGATTCTCTCTGGCCTCTTAATCTTGTTCTCTCTCTCTCTCTCTCTCTCTCCTTAATCTCGTGCTCTCTCTCCTTGGTGTTCTTCTCAGATCAACACAGTTCTATGCCAATATCCTTCATCCTCCTCAAGTAAACAGACCTATATATGCACCTCTATATATTATGTGTATGTGAATTACAATGTTTGAAATTGAATTTATTATGTTGAGGTCTAAGCAAGAATCAAAGTCGTCGTCCTCAACTTCTTCAAGATCTTGAATTCTTCGACTCTGGCAATCTCATGTCTCTCTGGTTTGCAATTTTGCTTCAAATCTCTACTCTTGAAATGTGTATATGTGTGTGTGTGTGTGTTAAGCATTGAGTCACTGTTGATTTTAAGTATATGAATTTGGGGATTTTTGAGTGTGTTACAAATCGATAGAAGATGAAGTAATAACAGAGTGAGTTAGGGTTTCTTGATTGATTGTCGTGGATTTTTCTCACTCGTTTTGCATGAGGTCTTTGATGAGAGTTAACACTACTCAATCCTTCATCAGAGGTAATAATAGGATCATCATCATCTCTCTTTCTCATTTGCCTTCTTAATCTTTTCTTTTTTCTTTTTTTTAATTTTCCACACTCACTGATACAAATTCGGATACAAACAAAGGCTCCCTTTGCTTCTCCCAAAAATGTGAATTTGTAATTTTTTACCCAGTCTAATTTGTTATATTCATTTAATTTTATGTTCATTTAGTTCACTAATGCCAGTATCCTTCAATTTAATTTTGGCCATTCCATTTTGCTTCTTTTCTTCAATTGTTTATTGTTTCTATTGAATTAGTGCTTTGCTTGTGTTTTGGATATCTAATTAGGATCTTTTATTTGTGTTTTGAACATATTTAAGGTTTTATTTTTAGTGTGATTTGATTGGCAGAGGAGAATGGAATCTCTTATACACCTTATCAGATTGGGGCTCATAAGATGTTTATCATGCTCTTTTTCATGTTGCATATCATTTTTGGATACCTTTTATTATATATATATATATTAATTATATATGAGCAAATGATGATTTATATCATATGTTTGTGACTATGCTCTGGTTTTTTTTTTCTCTTTTCATTCCCATTGTTCAAAGAGATTATTATATAACAACTATTGGCCCTTATTCACTTGTGAATGATAACAAATATTGACCTATAAAGTGGATTGCTTAATGTAGTGATGTTTGACACTCCTAGGAGTGTTTATGGGCCCAAATATGCTTAATACATGGTTTTTTTTTTTTAAAAGTTCATGCTTGTGCACAATGGGAGCAACTCACATTCTTTTGAATGAGAAATAATATATCCTATAAAAGATATGAAAAAATTAACTGCAGACCTTGACTTTGTTTGAATGGGAAATAATAATGTGTTATCTTTATCTGTTTTGATCTTTATAGTAAACTAAAAATCGTGCAAAACATAATTTAGGAAGATGCATATATTGTAAATCTAATTGTGCCTTGTTAATGTTTTAGTTTTGAAAGTTTGTAAACTTAATCTAGACTCGACGGTTTTGTTTGGCTCTATACTATTGCGATCCATACTTAGGCTGCATTTCTTTGCTTGGTTATCCATGTTGAAAACTTTTTATGTTATTTTTTCCAAGGGTGCATATTTAGTTTAGTGTTTTAGGGCCACTTTCAAGGGTTTTAAATCACCCATAAAACTACTAATGTCTATATAAAGTCTAATGAGACTTTTACATGCAGAGAATGCCTTTCTTTTAGGGCATAACCTTTGTCTTGTTTGAACAATTGAACATGGCACCTATGTCTAATGACATCACGTTCCTCCTAATAAGATTTCATTCCTGATTCTTCATTCTGCTGTCCTAGTAGGGCTAATAATTATGACAATCCTATCACTGAAATGAAATTTGTTTAGTCGCCGCTTCTCTATGTAGATGTATCAATTTAATAGGTGTACATCTTATTTGACCATAAAGTGAGACTATTATAGTGGATGTCACTGGACTTTTGTTGGCCACAAATTATTTTTATGTATTTCATCAAACAATTAGAAATTAGAGCTGTAATACTTTTATCATTGTTTTATACAATCATTGTACAACTTGTTACTTCATTTCACTTCTTGAATGCTATTAAGTTTCACCACGTTTTGTGCTTATTTTGATCTTTTGTTTTTTCTCTTCTCCTTTTTACTCGAAAAGGAATGGAGTGATGAAAACCTGCAGTATTCTTTTCAATTTTCTTTCATATACTTTGTTACAAATACTTTTGGGTTGATTTGACTTTTGTCTCTTGAATGTCTCAAGGAACATTAATACAGTCTATGGAGGAGGTTGGGTAGGCACTATTGTTGGAAAAAATAATTTTTGAGGACTTTAATTTAATATTAAAGTGTGGTGACTTTAATTAAATATTAAAGTGGGTCCTAATCATTTTTTGTGTTGGATCCAAGTGAGCCAAAAATCATTGGGTTTTGAATAAGAAATTGCTAATAAATTGCTTCATGATGTTAGATTCATGAATAAGATTTTAAAGAGTATTTAAATCTGTTTTCTTGGTTAAAGGGTGTGAATCCTTTGGGCATCCATACTTTTCATTTTGTGGAAAGGGGCTATGGATGCTTGGTGTTTTAATGACTAGCCTTAAAGGCTGGAGGCTTTTCCTCTCTCCCCTATACATGTATAAATTGAGACCCTCCTGTCAAGTTTCAATATAGAAATTTTTGCTTCCATTTTACAAGTCAGTTTGCTTGATAGTTCCTATTGTGAGAGAGTGCTGCCATTGTTTTGTTCGCTAAGCTAGACAGATAGTGTTTCTGCCGTAACTGGTTTTGACCGTCATATCCTGGGAGACAGACGCCGGGTTTCCTCAAGCACTCGACCCGTGAGGCGGCGAAATCTGTTTTAAGGAAACTGCTTCCGTGCAGGCTTCGGTTTTGTCTCTTTACCCTTTATTGTTTTTTGTGTATTTCTGTTGAAATTTAGTTGTAATTATCAGCATATGTTCTTGGTATATAATTTGTTTTCTTCATAAATCTATTTATTTAATTTCACAATTTTGAACAACAAAAATCTGTGACATAAAATAAAAAACAAAACAATACAAAAAAAACTTACAACCAAATAAAAGTTCTTGTTGTGGCCCAATCCATTCGATTAGAAAAAAATTAAAGCATATGAGTAGTGAGTCATATCTGCACCGAGATACTTTCTTTTTGCTTGATTGCTGTAATTAGTTAATGCTCCATGTACTGAATTGTTATTCTTAGATAAGCAAACTATAAAGATTGTCAATCCTTCTGGATGTAAAGATCTAAAATAAGATTTGTGATGAATTATACACACAAAAAAAAAAAGTGATGGCCACGTGCCAGTTTCATTTAAATGGACCCACGGAAAATGAAATAATGCATTGTTGATGCGGTGTCTGAAAAAACAAAAATTCAGTCTGTATGAGAGGGTTCAAGAATGTCGTTGGAAAATTTGAAAATCTTCAAAGATCCTTGAAGAACAACTTTGAATTCTTTAGAAGATGATGAGAGGCTTAGATTCTTCAATAGTCTCAACTTAAGAACACAAAAGAAAGGAGATGATAGAGATCAGAGATTGGGTGAAGAAGAAGGCAAAATGGCTAGAGAGAGAATAATGGCAAGGCTCTCCCATGGATCTCCCACTTTCACTCTCAAGATTCATAATGGAGATGGGAAATTAGTTCTTTCCCAAGAGTTTTCTCTTCAAAATCCATCACTTGTAAAGCTATGGGTGGGTGCTATTTATAGGCACCTCATGATGTAGGATGGAGCCCATATGCAACGCACATGGGGAATATTCTCTCTAACCACCTTGTCCGAGGAGGTGACCTCTCCGAGGATGAGGAAAACCCCGAAGAGGAGATCAACCTTTCGGCGAACCCTTCTTCTTAGTCACACCTAACCAATGATCCCCAATCATCCCAAAGGGTCAGGGGTAGTCCGAGAGGACGCCCTGCCGCAGAAGGGTCAAGGGTAGTTCAAGAGAACGTTCAGGAAATTATAGTCTTAAATTATATTTATTTTTTAGTTTCAAATATTTAAAAAATGAATAATATTTTGGAAATATACATTTTTATAATTTTAAATTATATAATACTAAAATTAAATTTAGAATTTCATTTTAAGGATTTTCAAATATCAAATTAGATGTGGCTTAGATATGGTTAAATTTATTTATTTGACTTTCTATATATAAATATTTTTTCTTAAAATTTAAAATTATAGATACAGTTAAATCTGCCAATGATTTTATATCACTTGTTTTGCTTACCTATTAAAATTAAAAAATTTATATTAATGTTATGAAATTCTTAAAGTCTCTTAGATCATTTTTTTTTTTTTGGCTCGAAAACACACTAATTTTATGTCACTTGTATACTCTACACCTAAGAAACACGTTAATTGATAAATTAAATAGTTACTACATAGAATTGAAAATGAAAATTATGAAAAATATAATTATTGATTTTTAAAAACTACATATATAAAATCAATAAATGATAAAATTCTTTTTTTTTTAATTTTGTTTATAATCTATTTGATAGACCTGTAATCAATCACAGACTTTAACTTTTTAATAATATATGGCCATTGACGTATAATATGTCTTAGAAA